AATTCTGGCAAATTATGGTTCTACCATTAAAGAAGTATGTTTACTAAAGAACGCTAATGACAAATTTACGAAAATCAAAAAGAAAAGTCTTAGAGAACTCATAAACACATACTTTCCGGCCTCAACAATTCTCAATGATGCAGATAGGTGAACCAACATAGACCAAAGGCCGATTACGCCAAGTTGGTTTATGGAAATAGCCACAGCAATTCATAATTCATAAGACCAAGAAGAATTGGATATTCTAAATAAATTTCAGCGATATAAGTTTCCAAGGACAGATGACAGATATAAAATTTTTCATACAAAAATTATTGCACGTCATTCAAGATTTACGACGTCAGAACCCCAAAGCGTTGCCAAAACATAAGAATAGTTAGTGTTTTAGTTTTTTCTTATTCAAAATAATCTATCTTATATGGAAGCTTATCAGCTTTCTACATACTATTTAGTTGTTTTGGCATAGCACAATCACAACACACAACAATAACTAGTTTTTAAAGCTATTAATCTAAATATAATATGTATTTATAAATACATTTTATTATTATATAATATATTATGATCAAATTCTGTAAGAAATCAAAACATTAACAAAATTCTTACTCTAAAAAAGCGGCAACACTTTATACAATTTTGCCACACGCTGAATTGCCATTAAAATTTGAAGTTCTAAATGAACTCAAATTTTAAAATCTACTGAGAATGTTACAATCTAATTGATCTAACCTATACTAAATCCATATAATTTTCCATATTATATTTTTATCGTATATATGAAAAAAGTAAGCACTATAAAAGTAATAATTTACAGTCGTTGAGTTGCGCCAAATGTAGGCACAACTTACAGTTGTTGTTCTAAGCATTGCGGAGAGCTGAAATAATTTCACTTAATATTTCCGTAAATAACGAATAATATTAAATATTCAATTTTAACATCTTAAATTAAAAGTAATGATTTTAAATAAATTTCATTATTTAATGAAAATCGAGTAACCATGTTTTATGAGTTTATTTTTAAATTATTATACAATTTCAAAAATATAAACATTAAACCTTTGAATTATTGTTTCACGTAGTTTTACTTTGCATGTGTTAGTAGTGAACAATTGTTAGTTTAGAGACAGGCAGACATTACCGGTTATTCCTCTCTTTACATATACGGATGAGATTAATGCATGTTTAACACAATCGTTATTATGGCGAAATGTCGAAATTGGCTAAATATTGAAAACGGTAAACTAAAACTGCATCCAAATCCACAATGTATCAAACTTCTATATACAGTAGCGCACCAAGAATTTTCCTCTGGGGGGGGGCACCGAAATTTTTTTATGCTACCGCCATCATTTTAAGTCCTTAAAATTTGTAAATAACAGTGTCGGAATAGGGTCCTAGGGAAGGGGTTTTAACCCCCAAATCCCCCTGGGTGCGCCGCTGTCTATATAATTTCTGCAATTTTGTTGAGACCAAACATGAATTTATTGTAAGTGTCTTTCCGATTATACTGAATAATTACTTGAATCATAATTAAATCAATCTACAATATTGTTAATGAAGACGAAGTCATAAATTAGATAAAATAGGTTGTTTCACAGATTATCCTGTGTGTATAAATAAATAAAATAATATATCAAATATTAATGAATGAAATATTAATATTTTGTGTAATCAAGTAATTATACATACCACAAAAATGTAAAAATTTCTAAAATTCGACGATAATGAATAACTGTAATCAGGAAAGAACCATTGGATATTCTGGATTGTCTTCAAAGAAAGTTTGATTATTCATAAATCTGAGTATCAAAAGAATATTTTTGTCATCCTAAAATAATAATATATTTTCTGGAATATACCGTTACTTCGATTATTAACTATTAATAGTATTAACATATCTATGTACCTAACACACCAAATATATAACTTTCTAATGTTTATCGCTGTTTACAAAATTATTGTAGATTCAAAGTTCAGTCAATTTCAATATTTGTAAGTTACATTACACATTTTAATAGAAACAAGTATAATTTTATTGATTGGGACTGTAAGTCTACAAGCCCATGGGAGATTTTTAATGGGTAATTTGATCCAGAATGAAACACATATAAAACAATACTGCAATATAACCATTTTTCAAAGTAAAACACTGGCACGTCACGATTTATACAACATCATATTTAATACAAAATCATAAACAATCATATTTATACAAACATCAACTTTAAGTGTTCAAATTTTCCTAACACAGCTAATAATACGAAACCCATACGGAACTGCTCGATCTTTCATAGGCGTCAACATGGTGTAATAATCAGAAAAATATAGATAATCATCATTATATTGGAAATTTTATAATTATATTGATTAAATAACCAAAAACATTTGTTATTATTAATAATATAAATTTTATGAAATAACTATTTAAGTCTAATAATTAATAATTATATTAATCCACAAAATAATAATTTTAATTAAATATATTCAACCCCCTCTGTGGCTCAGTGGTAAGAGCGCCTACCTTTAAATCTAAAGGTCGTGAGTTCGAATCTCATCTGGGTGGAGAAATTTTCGTTTATTAAAAATTAATAAATGAAAATAATTTCTATCCTTGTGCGATACGTTCGGATACAATTAGCGTCTCTTAGCAAAGACAATGACGTCGACTTTGCTAAGTCAAGACAATTACTCTACACACACACACACACACACACACACACACACACACCACACACACACACACACACACACACACACACGCACACACACACACTACACTAGGTACCTGACTGTACCATGCCAATGATCTTAGTTGTCGAGACATTAACTCAATCATGGACGTATAAATAAAGACTTTTTGTTAGTTTTGATTCTCTCCGTATAAAAGGCCAAGATTTTGGTTACAACAACCCAAACACTATCGAACAATTAGACGGTTTTAAATCTTTATTTATACGTCCATGAACTCAATAATAAATAAAAAATTAAATATATTAGACAAGATACGGCAATACTTCAAATTTTATTGACAGTTAAGCGTGTGGCAAAAGTGTATAAAGTGTTGCCGCTTTTTTAGAGTAGGAATTTTGTTCATGTTTTAATTTCGTACACAATTTAATTATAATAATAATCTATATTAATAAATTGTATTTATTTCAATTAAATATATTAGACAATTGTACGCTACTGATACGGAAATACTTCAAATTTTATTGACAGTTAAGCGTGTGGCAAAAGTGTATAAAGTGTTGCCGCTTTTTTACAGTAGGAATTTTGTTTATGTTTTCATTTCTTACACAATTTCATCATAATATAATCTATATTAATAAATTGTATTTATAAATACATATTAAATTTAGATTAATAGCTTTAAAAACTAATTATTGTTGTGTATTGTGATTGTGATATGCCAAAACCAATAAATAGTCTGTAGAAAGCTAATAAGCTTTCATATAAGAAAGATTATTTTGAACAAGAAATAATGGCGAAACGTTTTTACTATTAAAGCCCTAAAAGAGGTAACTTTAAAATTTAGAATATATCATTTTGTATTATAAATTGTTTTCTTATGTATTTTAATGTGTTGCAGTAGTCTTAAAACTAAGTGTATTTACTGTTAATATAACAGTTTGACAAATAGTTGACATTTTAAAAATTTCTCACTTACTAACTATTCTGATGTTATAGCAACGCTGTGGGGTTCTGACGATGTAAATCTTGAATGACGTGCAAGATTTTTTATATGAAAAATGCTATATTTAAAACCAATTTTAGAGACCATGCCTTATCGGTACATGTCAGTCACAGGAAAGATAAACTTACTACTCAAGGGGGTAAGTTTTTTTGCCGAACATTTTTTTTACGGCATTTATAACTTAGGTAGGTAATACAAGAATAATTACCTGCGACCTAATGCCGTACAAAATATTGGTACCATGAGCAGGGAAAATTGTTTCCTCATTTTCGGTAATTTGACACAATACGGCATTCATAGACAAAGTTTCGAATCGGTATATAGAATAATTTTTTTGCTAATAACGCAATAGAATATAATATATTTTTTAAATCCCTTTTTTCTATTCGGATTGCCGCATATATGCCTCTCCTAATTCTCGCCATTCATCCCTGTTGTTTGTAAGATGTTTCCACATTGACCCTGCAGTTCTTTGAATATCGTCGCTCCATCGCATTTGCGGTCTTCCTTGTGGTCTTTTGGCTTCATATGGCCGCCATTTCCCGATTTCTTTATTCCATCGGTCATTCGTAAGACGTTCGTTATGTCCAGCCCATTTCCATTTCAGTTTAGCTGCCTGTTCGACAGCATCTTTTACTTTTGTTCTATTACGAATGTCTTCATTGGTTTTATGGTCTTTAAGTGAGATGCCCAACATATGTCGTTCCATAGCTCTCTGAGTTTTTTTATCTTATCCATGTTTATTTTAGTGAATGTCCAGGTTTGAGCTTCATATGTAAGCACAGGTAGGATACTGGAATTGGACACTTTGGTTCGCAGTCTTTGAGGTATATTTTTATTTTTAAGTACGTATAAGAGCCTTCCAAATGCTGCCCATCCCATTTTTACACGTCTGCTTATTTCGGTAGTCTGATTTTCTTTGCTTACTTTGACTTTTTGGCCCAGATATGTATATTCACCTACGTGTTCTATCTCTGTCCCTTCGATGTTTATCATAGATTTGTTATCTTTGTATGATATTAGTTTAGTTTTGCTGAAATTCATTTTCAGTCCTTTTTTTAGGGATTCTGTGTGTAGCTCCTCAATCATCGTATTCAGTGCATTCCACGTATCAGCTATTAGTACTACATCATCTGCGTTATCTAAGATGGTTCAAGTATCTTCCGTTAATAGGGATTCCCTTATTTTCCCAGTCTCTTGACTTAAAGGTATCTTCTAGCACAGCTGTAAATAAATTTGGAGATATTGTGTCTCCTTGTCTTACTTCTCGGTTGATTTTTACTGGTCTTGTTTCGATTCCATCACCCAATGTCACTATCATTTCAGCTGGTTCGTAAATATTATGTATTAAAATTCTGTACCTGGAGTCGATCCGATTGTTGACTAATGCTTTTTCTATTGCCCACAGTTCTACGCTATCAAAAGCTTTTTCATAACCATAAAATCCAGATAAAATGGGAGATTGTATTCGTTAGTCTTTTCTATTAGGATTTTTAAAGTGTATAGACGGTCACAGGTGCTGTACCCTTTTCTAAATCCGGCTTGTTCTACTGATTGCTATCCGTCAAATTTAATTGTTAACCTGTTTGTAATAATCTTTGTAAAGGTTTTGTAAAGTTGGGAAAGAAGTGAAATTGGTCGATAATTTTTCGGGTCTGTGGTGTCTCCCTTTTTGTGTATTAGTATTGTTTTAGCAATATTCCATTGTTTGGGTATGTTGTCTTGGAATAGACATTTATTAAATAATATTTTTAGATATGTGATGGCTTCTTCTCCGCCTTCCTTCAGCATTTCTACTAGAATTCCATCGCTTCCAGGAAATTTATTCCATTTTATTTCTTTTACTGCTCTTTCTATTTCTTCGTGGCTTATTTCGGGCATCACTTCTGAGTTGACATTTGTTATCTGCCTTTTTAAGTTCTGCTTTGAAGAGTTAGGGGGATCATTTCTGGAACGGTACAGATCGGCGTAGAACTTTTCAATTGACTTTGCAATATCAGATTTACTTTTTTCTAGTTGTCGTAGTTCTTGTTCATTTTTAATCGTTATTATGTTTTTCTTTCCTAGTTTCGGTTTGGTGCATTTAAGACTTCGATGTTTCTCTATTTTTTCTATATGGTCTTCTTGATGTTGTCCTCGGACTTAATGTCCTCTTTTATCTGTTTTCTTATGACTCGATTGAGTTTCTTAAATTCTGCAGTGTCTCTTTTGTTTTGTCCCAGAAGATATTTTCTTTGTTTCAGCATGTTTTGTGATTCTTCACTTATTTTGGATTTTCGTTTTCTGTTAGCGGTTGCCACTTCTGAGCTTGCATTAATAGTTCTTTTGTTATGACTTCATTGATTTCATTTAAGCTAAGTCTATCTAGATTTAATACTTTCGCGGGATTTAACTTGCTTTTATATTGTTCTGTATTAGATTTTAGTTTACTGTGTCTATATTTCAAGTTTTTCTAAATTTATTTAAATTTTTATTGTTTTATCTCTAATTTGGCTCTAACCATTCGGTGGTCGCTACTTACTGACGCCGTATTTATAACTATTACGTCCTATATGATATCCTCTTTGTTACTCAGTATGTAATCTATTTTGTTCCGTGTTTTTCCGTCTGGGGATAGCCACGTCCACTTTCTTTGAGGTTTTTTCTTATAGAATGTGTTCATTGCATAGTACCTATGTGTGGGCTTGTAGGAAGTTAACCGAGGTTTCTCCTCTCTCGTTTCTAACTCCAGAGCCGAATTGTCCTATATAAGTTTTCGGTTTTTTCAAGTCGTTGTCCGATCTTAGTGTTGAAGTCTCCTATTATCATCGTATACGTGCTGTGATAATTCGTGCTATTTTCTGCAATTTTTTTATAGAATTCATCTATCTCTTCATCGGGATGTGCTGCGGTTGGAGCGTATACTTAAATAATTTTCAAGGAGATGTTCTCGTTTACATTTAACCTAATCATTGCAATTCTTTCAGATATTCCTACGAATTGCTCTACTTTATATGCATATTTCTTGGACATTAGAAATTCTACGCCTTTGTTCTTCTCGCCGTTTGTAATATATCTTATATTAGTCGGTAATAGTATCTTATTATATTACCGGACTCCAGTGTTATGCACTCTTCCCCTTTTCTTTTTACCTCTGCTAGACCAATTATGTCCCATTTTAAGTCCTTGATGTCTTCTTCGAGTTCGTAGACTTTTTCATCTTTGCTTAAGGACCTTATACTCAAAGTGGCGATGTTCAATCGTGTGGTTTTTAGCGATTTCTTGCTTCCCTCAGATTCCATGAAGCTGTCCTTTTTTCCAAAGGAGTGGGATTTGCATTTCTGTATGGTCTACCCACCTGGGGACTCCTTCCTTTTATTTTAGATATCGCCATATTCCTATTAGGAGGTTTTTTAGCCTTAAAACACGACGCTGGCTAGACTGGTTGATATAACACATTACTATAATATTCCTTGTCAATTCATAAACGAAAAATATGCGGATATGGTATATGTGTATGAGTTTTACGCATTTTCTTCAACGAAGAATACCAAGTTATGGAACTTTTGGACAGGTATATGATTATTCCAGAGTACTTAATACTAGATGCACATAATGAAAGACGACACGTTAATATGAAAAAACAAACATCAATCGGACACGTATCTGTAGCTATCTAATGTTTAAAATTGTATTTAAAGAATTATTGATCTTAATAAAATAGATCAAATGCAATATTTAGAAAGAATACCTACCCCGGATTCTAAAAATAAGGTAAAAGACACCTACATTGTAATTAACCTATTCCGTGAATTTCCTTGCAAGGATTATTTTCAGAACCAGAAATACCCGTAATTGGAATGTCCTTAATTTAAATATTTTAAAACTTTCTTGCTCTTGCTGCGATTATTGTTGTATATTTAGATATAATGGATCAATAGTTCGTTAAATATTTCCTTAATATCTCGCCAAGTTCATAGGCATTGTCTAGATAGCGGTATCAAAGAAATAGCGATATAAATATTTGATTAAGCAGTCATTATTGTATTACAATTTCTCCTTCACATTAAATATCTTTTCATAAAGGTAACGTATTATACAAAATACATAATCAATACTTCGAAAGTACTCGAAATAAAAAATGGCTATAGTTAAATGATTTCCAATAGTTTCTTAACGGAAAAAACTAAATAAAGGAAATGTATATAAAAATAATTGTTTTATACTCCTTTTACTTTCTAGATATTTGCCTTTTCTTCAAATATTAAGCACGATTCCGTTGTTAATTAGAATTCGAATAGATAGTAAACTAGTTCATAATTTTTCTTTACAACCTATGTTTATTGCTGCTAACTACGTTCTAACCGTCTTTATTTCCTTAGACTCTTATACTCAGTGACATTAGAAGTGTTACACCCAGAGGGAATAATTTTTTGAACTTAACTTTTTGGCAACATAATGACTATATTTAAAACATACTATGATAACAACACCAATGTTTTATCTTTTCTACTTTTTGTAAAAATAAAGTTTTACCTTCAAATTTTTTTGTGAAGAGATAGATTTGTGAAAACCGGTTGGTACAAAAATTTTTATTTATTATTCCTCAGTCTAGTTGTATTCAGTGTAAAAAAGTGCCTCGAATTTGAAAACACCAAAATTACCACCATGTTAGTGATTTTGACAGGGGTAGAATTATTGCGTATAAAGATATGGGTTTATCGTATCGCGAAATTGGCCATTGTTTTAATTGTACGGCAATCACGGTTATGCATGTCTATCGTGTGTGGACAAACGAAGGTAGAGTAATACGAAGAAGACCAGCTGGTCAACCGAGGCGTACCACAGAGCGTCAAGATAAGCACTTTAGATGACTGGCTCTGCGAGACCGTTTTGCTATTACGCGTTAACTTGCTGACCAATGGTTTGGAGTTGTAAGTAGACCTATTAATATGCGTACACTATACCGTCACATTCGAACCTTTTTACTGGTTTCATTCAGACCACGACAAGTGCTTCCTTTGACTGCGGACCACTGCCATCAACGTTTGAATTGGTGAGAAGAACGGCAGCATTGGGTGGCAGAATGGCGTAATGTAGCATTCAGCGATGAATCACAATTCTGTTTAGGAATGCATGATGGTCGTAGGATGGTAAGGCGCCACCGTGAAGAACGACGACATATCGGGTTTGCTGTTGAGAGGCATGTACACAGAATTCTTGGAGAAATGGTTTGAAAGGCTATTGCCTATGGTAGCCGATCTCCACTTGTGTTTATTCGAGGCAATATGAAAACTGCGCATTATGTTGATGACATCTTACAAACCACTTTATTGTCTTAACTCGACGACCGTCGAGACGTCCTTTTTCAACAAAATAACGCGGGTCCCCATATTGCTCGTCAAACTATGGACTTTCTCCAAGAAGCTGGCGTTAATGTGTTGCCGTGGCCACCCTGTGCTCCGGATTAAAATCCTATCGAACATGTATGGGATATGATGGAAAGGAGACTGTCCACTTTGCACCATCCTTCACAGACTCTGGAACAGTTAATACACATAGTTTAAGTTGATTGGAACGAGGTGCCACAAGCAGACGATCATCTCATTTTGTCTCATTTTTGTCATCTGCCTAGACGTATACTAGACAACGTTATCGTTTCATTCTTGATATAAATCTACAATGTTGCCAAAAAATTAAGTTCAACAAATTATTCCTTCTGGGAGTAAAAGTTCTAATGTCACTGAGTATATATATGTCTTATCTATATGTTGGTTTTATGATCTCCCAGTGAGACTACTAATCTTATATTATATGTTTATTCGGAAATGCTCTATTCTTAAACGTTCTCGATTTCGGATGTCATAATCAAAGGCCATGTTAACAGTTCATTTATTGGCTAATTTAATATTTTAATTTCTAAGTATAATCTGTACAAATCAAAATACTGCTATCACCACATTCCAAAAACATTAAAAGAACTTCTAGGAGAATCTAAATACGTAGCTGACTTGATCGAATTCTTAAAACCTATAAACTGTTTTAATTTCATTTCAAAAGAGAAATCATACAATTTCTACCTGGCGAAATCGAATTCAGCTTGATGAATGAATCGGCAAGGGAGTCTAAAAATTGCACTCCAAATGCCGTTCATCATGGCCTATATTCGTAGTGAATTCGATTTCTGGTACTCCAAATGAAGTAAATAAACAAAACAAAATGACGGTATTAGATTTTGATTTGATACAGAGCAGCAACAAGCCGCATATACGTATTTCGATCTCTTTAGATCTCCTCAGTACGGTATAGTTACTACTCCATATCAAACCAAAATATTTACCCGTCGTAGATTATAGTT